ATCTTTATCTAGATAATATTTTAGGTACCTATTTCACATTGAACATAATATTATCGACTGGTATATTAAGTACATTATACTACATACTATATACAAATATAATATTATGTATGTTCCYAATTATACATGTAAATACCTATATCATCACCTTCGCTACATATCTTATATACGAGTATAACACTTTTAATGAAGTTTAAATTGCTTTTTTATGATTTTAGATGCGTTAAATCTCGAACCAGGCTTTTAAATTACAGATAACTTGCATACGCCTACCTGCAGCTAAAGTGTAAACAATTAATAAGTACCTATAAAACATAATATTAATTTCACTAATAAACTTAACGTCTATCCAGTGGCGTAATTAAGAGGGGCTTGGGGGATACACCCCCCAAAAAAACTTTTAATTTACTGCTTACATTTTATATTTGATGGGGTAGGTTATTGTATGATGCTTACAGATTTTAGTAAAAACATATAATCTCCTCCCCCCCAAAACCAAATTCTTAATTATGCTACTGCGTCGATTGGCTATCAAACTTTATTACCTACCTACATTCATAGCTAAGTATCATGAATAATAAAGATACCTAGTATGTACCTATGACTAGCAAGCTATACCTAATCATAAATCTTGTAAAATATGACACACAATGTAAATAGTGTAATATKAACTAAGGTTRCATATAACTCAGACAGAGCATATTTTAAGTAATTTTCACTGGGTGGCACTTCAATAAAATTGTCTACCAGAGGAACATAGAAAGAAAGTCAACTCTCCTATTTCAACAATTTTGATATAGGTTTATTAACTGTACTCTACTGAAAAATACATCTACAAGTTGTATATAGGTTTACCTATTTATTGAGCATTTGAGATATTATTATTAYATCAAAATAACCGATTTTTCAATAATAAAACTTTGATAAAATAAGTAGAACAGAGTATCTGGGTCAGGWAGTTTCCTWCTTTTCTCTTTAGATTCCAGAAACTTAGCATTTTAATGATAGCTATATTATAATAGTATACACTAGGTATACATAACGTGACCACAATTTTTTCCTTCAAAGCGGGACACCTGTACATTTTAATAAGAAAACTATATAATTTTGCGTAAAAAAACAATTTTTTTATTGAATAAAAAAGAAAAAACATTAATTGTTTAGGTATATGAAAAATTCGAATATTATATTAATCATAATAGTCTCCCAACAATTATGGATTTTAGTTTTTCAAATTTTATATATAATATGTAGGTATACGTCATATACTGTTAACTGTATAGATACAGTCAGGGGCGTCATTTGGGGGCGGCAGGGTGTGAGGTTGCACCACTTACTTTTAAAATGTTACAATTTGACCTGCGCCTTGCTGAAGCCTAAAATAATGCACGAGCCACGATTGCACAATTATTTATATGATTAAAATCAAATTGTAATAACCGGTCTATAATGTATRGAAATAATTGAATGCAGGATAATATACATATAGGTACTTATGTATATTATATTATATTATCTATTTTTATATGGCCTGGTGAAATTTCAAAATGGCCTGCTTGAAACTTTGCACACMCGAAAAAAAATCTGAAATGACGCCCCTAGATACAGTATAAATGTATGATTGTGATATGTGATCAATAATTAATACCTACCACATATCGACT